CAGAAGCTCCGTCCACTTTCGTCATGCAATACAAGATTCCTCTTGAATTGTACGAACCCGTGCAGGAGATCATCAACTCCATACTTGAGAAGGGTGTCTTCTGTCCGTGCAACAGCACCTACACTGCCCCCATCTGGCCTGTCCTCAAACCAAATGGCAAGTGGCGGCAGACCATCGACTATACAAACTGAACCAACAGGTGCCATTGTCGCAGTGGCCCATGACCCAGCTGGAACAGGAGATTCCAAGAATCAGAGGAGCCACAATCTTCTCCACGCTTGATGTGGCCTCAGGATTTTGGACTTTGGACACAAGCTGGCGTTCACCTTCTGCAATCGGCAGTACACCTTTACAAGGTGCCTGTTCGGCTATGCCAAATCACCAGCCAAATTTAACATCTTCCTCAACAAAGCATGACAAGATGCCAGAGTAAGAGGCAATCTCATCTACATGGATGACATCCTCAGGAAAAGCACGACTGTGGCTGATCACCTGAAGGAAATTGACCACGTCCTGCACCAACTGACCAACGCTGATGCTAAGATTGCCCTCCACAAAGGACAATGGTGCAAAACCAAGGTCAACTACGTGGGCCTATTCATTGGACCACAGGGCATTGAGCCACAAAACAGCTGCATCCAGGCTATTCAAAACATCAAGCCACCCACCAATGTCTCAGAACTCTGAAGTCTTCTGGGCATGTACAACTTTTCACAGCAGTTTATTGAGAACTACTCGGACGTTGCACACCCTCTCACTGCCCTTCTGAAAAAGGGCCGTCCATACCAACGGCATGACCAGGACAAAAGGGTGGTTGTGTATGCCAGCAAGACACTTCTTCCACCAGAGTGCAAATGCTCAGACTGTAAGAAAGCCCTGATCTGTACTGTATGGGCTATCCAGAGATTCTCTAACTACATCATAGCACAAAAAGTGATCACAGAGACCTGCCAGCAGCCTGTCACATTTCTCAACAGACAACGCATCCACGACGGCATGGTCACAAACACCTGCATAGCTACATGGCTAATGACCCTTCAGGTGCATAATGTGGAAGCATGACATGTCCAAAACCACAAGTCGGCACTGGGTAACGGCCTGGCAGCCTGCCTAAGCTGCTCCGATGGCACGCTGACTGTGATCATCAAAACAGAAAGGCCCCAACTACAGCCACCTACCTGCCACAGGTACTTTGAAGAGAATATGTGCTAAGGCATGCCCACAGCCTACATTGATGGATGTTCTTACAACCACGAGGGCATCCTAAAGGCAGGTGCAGATGCTTTCGGCCCATAACATCAGAGACCTGTTTATTTGCACAAACTTCAACTATGCCAAACTTAGCTTCACATGCAACCTTCCAGGCTGGAAACTAAATGGCTTCAAGACAGCAAACAACAAACCAGTTAAACACCAACACCTGTTCCAGGCATGCGATGACATCAGAAGTAAACATGATATAATCGTCTACTGGAAGAAGTTGAAAGGACACTCAAAGCAACCGGGCCCGGACAAGGACCTCAGTGACCAAATGGATGCCCTTGCCAAAGCAGGCAAAGCAGAGCTATGGTCTCCACCAACCCACCCATCCACTCTTAAGGCCTCGATATACTTCAAGCGAAATCGAAGAACGAACTGATGTGATGTCATTTCGAACAAAATCCGGCCAAAACAAAGTTCGTTTTGTGTTAATTTTGGGAGTTTGAAATGGCTTGTCAAAGCGAACTTTCCGGAAAAGTTTGTTCCAGCTGCAAAACACCATTGTACTATCATTGGTCTGTGACGATTACGTCATAGGAGATGTGCGCTGAGGCTCTGCCTTCTTTCACGGCGAACTCTTCTCTGGGTTCATTTCTTCTGTCGAGTCCTTGGAGGTGAGATGTCTGTGGGTAAAAACATGAACGCAGTGGAGAGCCGCTTTATAGTAGCAAACTATGTTGTGCTTCTGATGAAATGAGACACTGACACTGTTTTTCATGTTTAATACTGCTGATTGCTTTTAAGCAATATATTGAATAAAGTGCCATGTAAATACACATGACAAGACTTCACCGGAATACTAATTTGCAAAGCTTGTGCAAACATACCCATGTTGCTATGATCAGATCAGACGAAAAGGAGCTTTGTTTTGAGTATATCAGGGCCTTAAAGGTGACAGCCACAATCCGCAGCAAACAAACTCGACCCACCACAGTACCCACCTCACAGCCACTTACGGTGGCTCCACAAACCTCCACGTTGCTGACATGCAAGCCTCTGACTCCTCAATAAAGACAATTTTTCACCACCTCTCTGAACCCTCCAACCACCATATCACAGCAGCTCAACTTGCTACTGCTCCGGGCCTCAAACGGTAACACAACGTGAAACCCATGCTGTGTGTGATGGACAACATTCTATAATATGTCCCTGATTACCTTACTGCGCCAAGGCTTGTGGTGCCACAGTGCCAAAAGTGGGTCATGTTAATGTATGCCCACAATGCACCATGTGCTGGACACCACGGCGCAAGAGCCACTTATGAGACACTAAAACAAATGGTTTAACCCTTTTTTAAAAGGTGATTTCGGTTCTTTGTTGGCTCTTAGGGTTGTGTAAAGAATGCGTAAAGGAATGAATGAATTGAATTGAATTGAATGAATGAATGAAGCATTTATATAGCGCTTGTAACCAACAAAAGCTTGCCATTCTGTCTCTCTCTCTCTCTCTCTCTCTCGCTCTCTCTCTCTCTCTAACTCACTTTTACCTTTTTTTAATCCTACATACAGTATATGCTTAGTTTAGCTGTGTTATACCATTTTTAAACGTTTTCATATACACTCTTGATTGTCTCTGTGTTCGCTGCTCACAAAGTAAGGTCACTTAAATGTTTGATTTCGTTACAGGCTCTTGTGCTGTTTAGTACAGTGGCCGAGAGACCTCAACACTCTGCAACTTAAGAAAACACATGCAAATAGAAAAAGCACCAGCAAATTAAGAAAACATCTTCATCAGTTTGACAACACACACGCTGCAAATACAACACAACCAAATACAGAAATGCACTGCGAAGACTCACAACATGACCAAATACATAAAAGCGTTGCATGTAGCACAGACCACAATGGAAATGTTTCAAGGGGACCCCAACAACCCTTACGAAAATTAACCATGGTTTTATTATAGTAAAAGTGTAGTAATGATGTTTTTGGTGTTTCCCATTTTACCATTACCATTTTTTTGGTGATTACCATTGGTGTAACTACACAAATACCATAGTTAAACTATACTTAGTGTAATTTGTGATTACCATGATTTAACTATAGTAACCATGTTTTTAAAAAACTTTTTTTTTATAGTAAAACCATTAATTTTCATAAGGGAAGTTGTAAAAGTAAGTTAGCCAGCTTACATAACATTTCACAGTTACAGAAATTGTGTATTCGTCAGCTTATTTAGGTTAATAATATCGAAAAAAGCTAAGGAATCATATGTTCAGGATGTTAAAACAAATAAAAATAGCACCTTTCAGAGTAGACACTGATAAGCATGTACCAGCCAGGTTTGTCACTTGTTGCGGTTCCCTTATACATTCCCGATGTTTTCTGTGCATATTTAATTGTGTTGTGGGTATTTGCAAAGCGTTTCTGTATTTGGTTGTGTTGTGAGTATTTGCAGCATATTTCTGCATTTGCAGCGTGTTTCAGTATTTGGTTGTGTTGTGTGAATTTGCAGCACGTTTCTGTATTTGCAGCGCATTTCTGTATTTGGTTGTGTTGTGTGTATTTGCAGTGTGTTTCTGTATTTGCAGAGCATTTCTATATTTGGTTGTGTTGTGACTTAATTTGCTGGTGTTTTTTCTATTTGCATGTGTTTTTTTCATTTGCAGCACGTTGAGCTCTCTCGGCCACCATGGTTTAGTATTAACAGTGAGAAAGCTATCCTTCTTGGCCAGGAGAATAATCTTTCTTTGAATTGATAAAAGATAAGTCGAACCGACTGTCGACTGTAAAATTTATTCTGCTACAGTTAATCCTAAAGCTGATATAAATATGAATAATTAATTATAACACATTATAATAATATTTCCCCCTTTGAGCTAATTTGCTACACGTTAGGTGCTACGAGTGCTGCATAATTTGAATTCCACTATGAAAGTCTTCACATCTTTTACAGATATTCAGTGTCAAGATGCTACTTGATCAACTTTTCTGGGATGGATTTTATGCACTTTCTTTGTCTTGGAAATGTTTATTAGTTTTAAAATACACAATTTTGCTTATCTTGAGTTATGAGATGGGCAAAAGAACCCTTATATTGTTATTGCACTCAAATGCATCAGCAGATTTAGCTGAAAGCTCATATATACATATCCTCATCACTTTCTGTCGCTTTAAAAACCCTGAGATTAAATCAACTGAGTGACAACGTGGGCGAAAACAGCTTGTGGGCAACACTCCATTTTAGCGAGTGCTGGGTTGGTATGTGTGTGTATATGTGTCCTGTTTGCCACGCACTGCCTCTGCAATCAGTATGCAGGTGGCACAGTGGGAACAAAGACAGATAGAGGAGTGTGGCCACCCACCCACTCCAATCTGAAAGACAGAGATAAGGAGGAAGAGGCACCCCACATATTCACAGGTCGATCCATCTCATAATTAACACATGCTGCTCTTTATTTGGATCAGACCATATGGGGGAAAACTGGGGAAATACTAGTTTTGTTTTCAATCGTCTGTTGACACTTCTGTGCCTTAATGCATCTCACTAAGATTGAATTTGTTTCCAATTACGCCCTTCCTATATGCTGTATCTTACACAAGAAAAGCAGAGTTATTATGGATGGAAATGGTTCTTCAACCCTCTTTGTTTGAATGTGCATGTATTCACATACGTGTTCCCTTTGCAAAAACCAAAGGCTCTAGATACTTAAAAAGCAATTACTAAGAAATGGGCACACATGGAACAGCTCTCCGTTATCATACTTCCTGCCTCTCATTGTCTCTTTCTGTCATTTTCAGGTTGCCTTCACTGTGCTGTTTGATTTGGAAGCTCTGCTGAAAATCTGGTGTTTGGGCTTCACTGGCTACATCAGTTCCTCTCTACACAAGTTTGAGTCTTTGCTTGTAGTGGGCACCACCCTGCACATCTACCCTGATCTCTACCACTCGCAGTTCACCTACTTCCAGGTTAGAGACAGTTACTGATCCAAAGATAATCTAGAACATAGTCATTACTGAAGTTTATTGTACAACTACTTTTAAACACGTTCCTGAATAATGCCTAAATCAACCTACAGTGTAGTGCTGGAAGCTTGTGATGTGAGACCAATAAAACCTCTGATAGTAGAAACTTAGTTTGAGGTGATTTTATTTTATTTCCTATCCACACTGCCAACACGTTACCATGCTGAATTTAAACAAAAAGCAAAATACCGCCTGTCATCGTTCAATACTTCTCAGATTATTTTTCAGACATTATTGACTCTGATAGCAGCGTTTTGGCAAATTATGCACAGAAAAGTTTATTTATTTATTTTTACTGAGGCCATGACACGTGCAGCCACAGCATTTGTAAAAGGGTCTGTGCATGAGTGCAGCACTGCTAGATTCTGAGATGCTAATCATGCACTAATGCAGGGTTATAACGCATACTGGTGGCCATGGCGGAGCTGTTTTTTTATACATCTCTAGGCAGCTGCAGGGAATGGCAATGGATGAAGCCCGCTCACGTTGACAAGCCTCATTAAGGACACAACCTGCGCTCTCCCTCCAGTTTTCTCTCGGCAGGAGGGGCGGAGCTCCATTCGTGAATATTCATATCCTCCCCTCATGTCTGGGCTCATTACTGCCATGAAAATGACACATGATTCACCATGAGCAGTCTCCATATTAAATTTAGATTTGTAAATAGCATTCTATATTTTTCCATCATTTGTGAAAGGAGTGATTGTCGCAAATAGCAATGTCTGGCTTCAAACTCATATTCTAAAACTTTTTGAACATAATCACTTCTTTGCATTATTGAATATTCTGTATTATTTTTTTGTTTGACTGTAAAGTTCAAACTAAGCCTTTGCTTTCCAGTTTGCCATATTCGATATTAGTTCTTACATTTATGTTTCTGGAGAGACTAATTAGAACTCTATTTCCATTGGGTCTCAAACTACGCAGTAAGAATTCTCTTGTACATTACACAAAGTGTCCCCAAGTAAAGTTCATCGTCTTCCTAGGGAGAATTTTCATTTATATAGATATATTTGCCAAATGCTTTCAACTAAAATAACTTTTAGTGTATTTAAGGTATACATCATATTTACACATATTTATCAGCATGTGTGTTCCCTGTGAATCAAACCCATAATGGTGGTCTTACTAGTACCATGCTTTATCAGCTGAGCTAAGTAAACTCTGTGATTAGAATTTAATTGAAATAGAGTTGAAAAAAATCAATCAATATTATAACTAATGGTCAGCACTATTAGATGAGCACTGTAGTTTTAGATCTCTGAAGCAACAAAACCCAAAAGAAGCACATTTGTTTATGTGTTTGTTGTACAGAAAGACCTTCTCCTGAGGATTGCTGGATGATTATTCTAGGTTTAAAAGTAACGACAGCAGGAGGATTCTCAGGTCACATTTGGCTAGAAGCAAATGGATCAATATCTATTCTCTGCTCTTTATCAAAACTCAACCTAGATGCATCATTGCTCAAATTTGTTGTCACCTAGAGTAATTTAGTAACTGCTTGAGCAACAATGCAATTTGTAGCCAAGTTATTCTGGTGAAGAACCTGATATCAGTGTTTGCTCATTAAAAATCAATAAAACAAACACCAATATACTCCATAGGCCTTCTTCTTGTAATAGTTTTCATATTAATATTTATGTCAAACCCGTGTAATGAGATGCTGCTGTGGATTTATTGATTTGTTGATGCTTTGATAAGTTGATTTATAATTCCAAGATGTGGCTTAAGCAAATATTAAGTTTGTTTTTAATTAAGAAAATTTAAATGTTCTTCCTTGTTACCTGCAGGTTTTGCGAGTGGTCCGTCTAATAAAGATCTCTCCGGCACTGGAAGACTTTGTGTATAAGATTTTCGGTCCAGGGAAGAAACTCGGCAGTCTAGTGGTGTTCACTGCCAGTCTGCTCATAGTGATGTCTGCCATCAGTCTGCAGATGTTCTGCTTTGTGGAGGACTTGGATCGTTTCACCACATTTCCACGGGTAAATCTCCCTCTTTCTGGAGACACAGAAAGTAGTTGTAGATCAAAAGATGAAAAGTTAAAATAATTCGTTCTTGGAGGAGCAAATAAAGTTCTTGAGTCTTATGATTGCAGATTTTGTTATCTTGACCATTTTTATTTGAATAGCTGAAATACTAATATACTAACAATTATCACGTCAGAAAAACGATGCTTAAATCTAGAGAAGAATTCAGAAACCAGTGTGGACCAAAATATCTCTAAATCTGTTATATACTTAATTTGTCAGTAGATGACAGACTCTCTTCCAAGTTTTTTTGATACTATGTGCTCATGAGTGGGGTTCTCATTAGTGGTGTCTTTTTATCCTCCGTTATTAGTGGGATTCCACTGATCCCAATGCGTGCTGGGATTTGGAGGGTCTCACATAAACAGATGCCGCTCATTTCCAAGGCGGGTGGCATAATAACCATTGAAGATAATGATGTTTACCCAGCTCCCTTGTCAATAGACCTGTTGCAAAATATCAAATTATCTTCATCTGCAGTCACTCAGAGACAGTGTGACTGTGACCAGGCTTGGGACAAGCTGGGTTTAGACCTCCATTTGACTTCCATGGAAAAAAGGCCATGAAAATGTGGTCTCATATATCCGTATGATGCTGAGACCTGGGGCACACTGTTTTTTCTTTTTCCTTTTTTTATTTGCATTCATTTCAGTGAATGTTGTGTTCTGCCTTGTCTTATTTTTATCGCAGCAATTTCAGTCAAAAATGCTTGTGTATACATGAGAATATATTTAGGAAAAAAGATAAACATAAAATTGTTACTCTGCTTTGTTAGTTTTCAAATTTCCATTTTGTTTTGATGACTGGAAAGGTCAAATCAGGAGTCAGGACAGTTAAGTCCTGACTCCTGGAAGTCATCTATCAAATTCATGAAAGCGTACATCTATTATGCCTATTAACTATTAAAGTTTTAGCTCAATCAGAAATAGTTTTTTCACCCTCATGTTATTCCAACTGCATAAGCCTTTCAAAATATCCAGATGTGGCACTAGATCTGACAAGGTTGTTAAGGACTAATAAAAAATACAGACTGATCATTTCTCTTTTTCTTTCCTGCAGGCATTTATGTCCATGTTCCAGATTCTTACGCAGGAGGGATGGGTGGATGTCATGGACCAAACTCTGGTGGCAGTGGGACAGATGTGGGCTCCAGTGGTGGCCATATACTTCATTCTCTACCACCTGTTTGCCACACTGGTAAATATAATTTATTTGTGCTTTTTCTGTAAGATCAAACAAAAGGGCTTCTATAAAGTGCTGCAATGATGACATATTTTTGTAGGCAACTCGGAAGTTAGCATCACTCTGGCTCCTTTGACGAAAACCCAATCGGACCTTTGCAGTACTGCAAAAAATAAGCTCTGTGACCAACAAAAGTTTATAATTCTTACACATTTTGTTCATCATCATAGTCTTCACAATTTAACACAACACACCTTTAAAACAAATTTTAAAGCCTAAATGCAATCAACAGAAGTAAAAATCTAAACGTAGGCTTATAAACGTCTAGGTTACTTGTGTAACCCTCGTTCCCTGAAGGAGGGAACGGAGACGTTACGTCAGTGACTGCTACATCTTGGACAGAACTCATGTTTGCATAACAGATTATCTGTCAACATCACCCCATGAGCACAAAACACCTACTAAAAATGTATGACAGAGAATATAGAGGCCACATCACAGTGTTTATGTCTTAAAACTGCTGGGACCTTCAGATATTCAGTGAAGATGTGTGACTAATAAATGAATTGTCTTAAATATCTTCAAATGTCTTATTTGTTTTGTCCAAACAGTACTCTAATGCATATAAGGGTGTATTGGCAAATTGTAATGAAAGCTAAATTCAGTATGTTCTTGTCTTTTAGATCCTTCTGAGTCTTTTTGTGGCTGTTATTTTGGACAATCTGGAGTTGGATGAAGACTTGAAAAAGTTAAAACAGGTAAGACATTGTTCTATTAATTTTGCTTATATTATACACTACCATTTGAAAGCCAAACAAATAAAACAGCATTTATATGAAATATAAATGTTTTTGTAGCAATCCAAACTCTTGCACTGAACACTTTTGCACTGAAGCACTGTCACTTTTGGTCAATTTAATGCATCTATGTTGAATAAAAGTATTCATTTATATAAAAAAAATACCACTGACCCTTTTTAAATTGGTAGTGTATTATTTTTATTATATTTTGTAGTGGTTCTTGGTCGGTAACATTTTGAATATTTAAACCTATCCTCCTAGTTTCCTGGGGGAAAGACTCTGGAACAGGACAATTAGCAAAGCTGAATTAAAACAACTTGTTAAATCCCTCTATTCACTGTCAGACTAGACAAACTAATAAGATCTATTTTAAAAGTAAATTAGGTTATAATATTTTGACAATGTGCTCTCTGAACCATGGACTCACAATACATCCAAAAACATTCCTCAAGCACGATTATAGCCTTAAAAAATGTTTCATGTGTCTTCCCTACATTTGAGGAAAATCAGCAAACAGGGTGAGCTGTGTTAATTAGTACAGTTCTCCATCTTGTTCTCTGTTTTTACCTTTTTATGGGGCTGTGATGCACAGGTAACGATGACTCATAGGATAATTAGCGTTAGAAAGCGTGACCCGTTTGGCAAGTGCACTTAGAAAAAACAAGGCACCTTCTTCTTAGGATGCAAATGAACTTCTGCTGTGGCCAAATATCATAGGAAATGGCTTTTGAAAGCAATTAGAGGTCGGATGTCTCTGTGGATAACAGCATGTCACCTCTCTCCTCAAGCACATCAGCAACATATTTCAGCAATTGTTGAAAATGTTATGAGAGAGAGAGAGAGAGAAGCCAAAAGAAACCAGCAGCTCATCACAATTTGCATGATTGCAATTTGTCATAACAATCTTCAGTGTTACGAGATATGCTAGGACAAATTGTAAAAGTAATAGTGTAAATTGAAAGGGAAGGCCACTGCTTTCCTGTGATTTCTCTTTTTCTCTGTGCTTTTCTCACTCTTGAGTAAATGACATGAGCTGTGTTGTCCTTCAGGCCACCAGGCTGTCAAGCTCCAGGCATCTTCACATGCCCAGATCGGTTATCCCTCAGACACAGCTGACTGATCCACGGTTCCACCTGTAAAATTGCCTATTTTATAGGTGCTTCAAGCACAGATGGGGGCAATCCAAAAATAGAGTGCTAGATTGTGATTGCTCTCCAAGAATACAGGTGGCTTGTATGAAGCACAATTCAATGGTTGACCTTAATTGAAGCAAAACCAGTTCTAGCTGATGTGGAACAAATAACAACTGGATGTGTTTTTGTCCTTTCCGCTCACAGTGGCTTTATGACAGCTCTTCTAGGTTGTTTTTTCTTTCCATAGGCTTTTCCATTGCTGCCTCACAACCTCTGTCACCTTGTAATAAAGTCATCAGCAACTGTCTCCTAAAATGTTTGGCCACCTGCTAGATTGAAGGATTTCTGAAAATGGAGCATTAATCAGGACACTATATTTAACCGTCAGACTCTTACAGCCTCATAATTGACAGACATTTTTTTGTTAGGCAGGACATTGTTTGTCTGTTTGATTAGGCTTAGCTTTGTGTCATTTTTAGCATGCCCTTTGCATACTGAAATACACACATTCATTCACCGCTTATTTTCATTATACCACAACCAATAAACAATTAATTCAAACAATTAACCTAGGGTTATGATGTGTTATCATGTGTTATTATTATATGTGTTATTATTATAATCAGGGATGCACATACGTCTTTTGAGATTTGGTTTGGTACTCAAATTGTTTGTCTGTTTGATTAGGCTTAGCTTTGTGTCATTTTTAGCATGCCCTTTGCATACTGAAATACACACATTCATTCACCGCTTATTTTCATTATACCACAACCAATAAACAATTAATTCAAACAATTAACCTAGGGTTATGATGTGTTATCATGTGTTATAATCAGGGATGCACATACGTCTTTTGAGATTTGGTTTGGTACTCACACTGCAAATAGTGTGACTAGTGATAGTGATAATAGTATTATTGAAATGATTTATTTTGTATTTTAATAAAACAAATAAAATGATAAACAATATAATCAGTGTGATAATACTATTATATTTAAAAATAAATTGAGTATAAAATAAAAATACAGTTATTTTATAGTACACTTAAAATACAATGCTAATATTAACCTTTTTTAATGAATTTTCATCATTTTCAAACCTAAAATCAGCAAGCTTTTATTTTGTCGGGTTGCCAGCAAGTGAGTATATGCGCTGCCGGGTTTAGCACTGCTGAGTGAAGCACGTCAGTGAATGAAATGTCAGTTTTGCATTTTGCTCTGAAACTGGCAGTGCATAGCCTATATTTATGCTTTCAGTTTGAGTGGAAATCTTATACAGTATTACAGTTAGTCGATCTAAAACAGTGATTGTGCATTAACAGCTGACAACAATGTCAGTACACAAATGAATGGTCTGAACATATTTGCACATCACATTTTTTATTTTGGTTGTGCATGCTCACCTGCGTAGCTCAAGCCAAAAGTTATACAAACAATTATTTATCTTTTTATGACATGCTGGATGTGTCTGAATCAATTCAACAGGATTCAAATGTTAAACTAAAAGAAGAACAGGGACTGTTGCACTACATTTTCAGAAGCCGTTTTTTCTTTTCTTTAATGCAGTATATATTATGTATGAATATGAAACAGTATTTTGCAGTGTTTTCCATTTTTCTATATATATAAGTTTCAAGATTCAAGAGTTTCAAGTGTTATATACAGTATATATAGGTGTTATGTAATGTAAACGTAAGCATGTTGTATTTACAGTATTTATAAAGTGTATGTAAGTGTACAGTATACACATACATATAAAGCGTTAAGTACATGTAAACATGGTGAATATGCCATGTGCAAAGTCCAGTTGAGGTAGGTTGGAGATTGACTTTTGTATTCGTAGTGAAATGGGTTCATGTATATGTGCAAGGTTCTTAGGGGTAACCTCATTAATTATGTATTTGTATTGCGAGTATGTTCATATGCGAATGTGTGCATGTGTGTATTGGAGAGTCTGGGAGGGGGTAGTCTGTGTCTGTAGAGAGGCAGTGGATGGATGGCAGTCATTCACCAAGCTGATGGCCTGAGGGTAGAAGCTGTTCCTCAATCTTGGTTTTCTGGCTTTGACACTCCTATAGCGTCTGCCTGATGGTAGGAGTGTGAAAAGGCTGTGCTGTGGGCAACTAATGTCTTTGATGATACTGATGGCTCTCTTGACGATTCTGGTCTGGTAAAGGCTGTCCAGTGCTGGTAAGGCAGTTCCAGTGATAACGATCTCACCACCCGCTGTAGGGCCTGTAGAAGTCGCTGAGGATTTGTCTTGATATGCCAAATTTCCTCAGACTCTTCAAAAAGTACAGATGTTGACGTGATTTCTTGACCTAGCTGTGTAATATTATGAGACCAGGTAAGATCGTCAGCGATGTGAACACCCAGGAATCTGAAACTTCTCATTCTCTCCACCTCTGTCCCACCAATACACAGTGCTGAGTGCTGCTCCTTCTTCCTCCTTAGATCAACAATCATCTACTTAGTTTTGTTGACATTTAGGGGGAGATTGTTATCCTGGCACCACTTCACTAAGTCAGCCACTTCTTTTGGGTTTAAACATTTTTGAAAAATTAATACTTTTGTTCAGTATGCATTAATTTGATTACCAAATCGGCATATTATAATGATTTCTGAAGGATCTTGCAGGATAAATTCAAGGGGTAGGGTTAGGGTTAGGGCATAGAATACAGTTTGCACAGTATAAAAATGATTGTCTCTATGGAATGTCCTCATAAAACATGGAAACCCAATGTGTGTGCGTGTGTGTCTTGTGTGTGTTTGCTTGTGCATGTGTGCATACTGTATTAAAGAAAAAAATAGTATGTAAACCGAAGTAGACATGAGGTTGTGGACTTTGAGTTCAAATGACTCAGCTAGTTTTTGGTCAACATGTTTTTTTTTTCTTTCACTTGTTTCATCAAGATATTTCATCTTGTTTCATGCTATAAATGTCAGACATGACACATCTCTAGGGACAGTAACAGTATTTCACTTTGATTGAAGGTAAAGCCATGGACAGTTCGAGAGAATTCAAATCTAGATAATGTATCAGCGGGGTGGTTTTAAGGGTGTTATTTTTTTGAATGGTTTGTTTAGATTCCACAAATAGACCTGGTGGTTCCATTTCACTCTCACCACAGGATAGGGTAAGTGTTGAAATGAGTCTGGCCCTGATCTATCCTCCCACACTGTGATGCTTTTGCCGGGTACAAAAATAACAGAAAAAAAATTTAATTGTCTCGTATTTTACCTTTCTACTTTTCCGTTTTAGATTAGTTTATGATTGTGTTTAGCAAAATTACAAACTTGGCACTTCATGAGCCAAGAGGAAGGACTGTTACACTGTGTCCTAACCAGGCATGATAAGTTTCCTGTGAAGAAATTTTCTGTACAACCTAACACAATTAAAGCCAATCAAACCATATTTGATGTTTAATATATGTGTATATAAGTATTGTTTTGGGGAGATTTCACAGTTGAATTTAAATAGAGAATTAACAGCCTGTTACTGTATCCCTCGTTCAGAGAATAGATTTTCACATGGAAACAGTTCACAAGTCTTCAGTCAGAAAGATCTAGAGGCACTCCATGATGTTATTTGTTACTGTGGTACCTTAAGGCTGCGTGAGAGTGATTCAAAACTCAGGATATGCTTGTAGTGTGGCTTGTTGGAATCATTTATTCAGAGTTTTGAATGGACCATATCTGTATTCATTGATATTGCCTATGATAATTGACCTTTTTGGCATACAGTAGCTGGCAGCTAAGAATGCAAATCTTCAAACATAAAGTTTGAGCATCTATTATTAGACAACTGGCTCTGTGGAGACGAAGG